AAAAAAAAAGAAGCCACCCGACAAAATCGCAAAAGACCAGCTAAATAATATTTTCTCAAACATTTAGCGTGTCGATGATTGTGCAGTCCAAGAACATTGGCTTCTTGACTCTTATACAAGTCGTTTTGGGAGATTAAATGACTAAAATTTAATGAGATGAGATGAATCTAAAGAGTCAAATCTTTAGGATCCTCAATTATCTTAGACAAGGTTTGCAAGAATGCCGCCAGATCAGCACCATATATCACGCGATGATCTGCAGTAACATTGACCTGGCAATACAAAAAGGCAGCATAAAGAATTGATCAATCTTTTTTTTTTTTCCTTGTTATTATTACTTACTAATATTGCTATTACTATTAATATTGTTTCCATTTGCACATGTAAATTTCAATTATCCTAAGGAATTTCGAATAACACCCCTATGACTCAACGAGAATGCAATTTGTGATAGAGAATATCCTGACGATATTTCATATTTGCAATTTTGAAAGAGATCTTTTTTTAATAAGGCCCAAGTTGAGGGACTAATTTGTATTTAACTTGTACACAATGTGGAACTAGTTATTAGCCATACGAGAATACCTGCATTTGAGTTTTCAAACCAATTCGGCCATCCTTAGTACCGACGAGAGTGGGTTGAGAAGCACCAACAGCCATAATTGCACCCTATGATAATGCCACATATGGTCCAATACATTCAATAACATAAAATTGCATAAATTCCTCTTTTCAGCCACACAATGACACATTATGACAAAAGTGTCTTCTGAATACAAATTATTATACTTACAGTTCCTGGTGGCAAGATGGCATCAAAACGATCCACCCCAAACATTCCAAGGTTAGACAGAGTAAAAGTGCCTATAAAGCAATGAAATAATCACGTAATCAGAAAGTGCATTAAAGGGCGTGGAAGGATTTGCTTATTTCACTAATATCCTTTATTGAGTTAAAAAATGGTGATTTATTGTAACTATAGTAGAAGCAACTTGATATAATCCAAGCAGGTTTGAGCCATTGAACAACTGAATTACCTGTAGTGTACTCATTAGGTTGAAGCTGCTTTGCTCGTGCCTTATCGACCAACTCCTTCCACTTTCTTGATAGCGAGTATATGTCAATCTAATAAGAAACAGATTACGGTTACAAGCCAACAGATGAAGGCCGAACAAACAAATAAAAAAAAAAATATAAGGAAATTGGGAAATGTCGATGAAAGGTCAACCTTGTCAGCATCTTGAAGAACTGGCGTAATCAAACCACCATCAATGGCTACAGCAACTGCAATGTTGATACTGCTGTTATACGTAAAGCTCTTGCCATCTCTGCAGCTAGAGTTCACAACTGGATGCTTGACCAAAGCAAGGGCTGTTGCCTTGGCTAATAAAGCCGTCATGGTAACTCCTTTAGACTTGATCTGTATAAGTAGTTGACGAATCACAACATGGTAAAAAATTTCAAGATAATATATGAAAGAGAGAAACTTTCTAGAAGCAATTACGTTGAAAAAAGTATCAACGATTCAACTCTTCAATACAAAACGTAACATTTTTTGGGGATTTTCAAGAGCTTGAAATATTTACCCTCACCTGTCCCTTCAATTAATTTCACATAACCTTCAATAAAAGTCCCAGAAATATCATGCTGTTTATTGCATTTATGAAACTCATACTTTCATATTTTTAGGGACTATTAAAGGTTCCATCCACGATGATAGTGTATAGATCATTCAGTAGAGCTTTGATCCAACAGGTCAGCACAAATCATACAAATTTTGAAATATTTAACAAGGGATTCAAGAGTACCAATTTTCCAGAGACCTGTCCCACTTATTCAATCTTAAATCTTCTACTACTCTAGCCAAAAAGTTCCAATCTTTATGCAAAAACTAATCAAACCTCCACAACCCCGTAATCATTCAACCAATACACACGAGAAATGGAAAAAATTCACATTAAGAAAAAAAATAAAGAAAGAAAGAGAACAAACAAAATCGCCAAATAAAAAAGTATACCTTCTTGTACAAAGCATCAAGAGCATCCGTAGTAATAGTATAACCGACCCTGAAAGTCGGCACACTCAAGCTCTCCAGCATATTCCTACTCACCGCACTCTGCATTGTCGTGAAAGGCACCACCGAACCCAACTCCACACCACTCGGCTTGGCTTCTTCAGGAGCCACCATTGTAGCCCCACTACCACTACTAGATTTTGCAGCCGTCAAAGCAGCCTCCACATCTTTAGCCACCACCCTCCCATTGGGCCCACTACCGATCACCCCCTTCAAATCCACCCCCAGTTCCTTGGCCAGTTTCTTCGCGTAAGGCGAGGCCACCACCCTCTTCCCTCCCTCGGAGGCTGGATGCACGGCCGACCCCACAGCAATGCTGCTAATGCTGGCCTTTGCAGGGGGGGAAGGAGCGGAAACTGGGCTGGGAATTTCGTCGAGCACCTTAGGTGCATCGCTATTCCCACCTGGAGGCACAGAACCGGGCGACGTTTTCTGAGATCTGGCCAGCGCTATTTCCTCCTCGGTCTCGGCGAGCAGGGCAATGGTGGACCCGACGGCGGCTGAAAGGCCCTCGTCGACGATAATGGCAGCGAGATAACCGTCGTAGAAGGACTCCACATCCATGTCCGCCTTGTCGGATTCAACCACCACGACGGACTCGCCCTTGGCGAGCTTGTCGCCCTCTGATTTGACCCAGCTGACGATCTTGCCCTCCGTCATGGTGGAGCTGAGCGCCGGCATGAAGATCTCCCGGATCTTAGCCTGGACAAGGAGGCGGGCGGCGCGCCGAGGTGGGGCAGCGCCGCCGAGGGAGCGGTGGTGGAGGGACGGGGGAGCGGCGGGGACAAAGGTGGTTTGGAGAAGTCTGCAATGCGACATAATTTTGTGTGAGCTCGTGAGAGATAATTGAACTGAATTGATTGGATTGAGTAGGGAGAAAATTGGGTGATTAATTATCAGAGGAGTGCTGATTGAGGGGAAAACGAGAATGGATTTCTCGAGCTCATCGAAAAAGGCATTCAACCAACTTTTACCTGTTTTGCCACAGGACGACTGGTATAATGCGAGTGCAGTGTATAAATCAATTTCGAGCTCGTGTTCAATTATGTTCGAACGGTGTTCGTGATAGTTTGTCTATTTTTTGAATAAAAAAATTGTGTTCGAACGGTATTCATGTTCGTTTATCTATTTTTCGAACAAATTATTGTGCTCGAACTCATTCGTGATATTGTGTGTGAAAGTTTGAGTTTGAATAGTTTACTAGACAAACTTATTAAGGTAATATTTGGTGGGACGGACAAGCTCTTTAAAAAAACTTGAGCTTATTTCATAAGCTTCTTTGAGTAGTTTTTTAAATAAGTCGGTTGAAAATTTTATTTCAACTAGCTTATCAGTTAGTTTTATCAAACACTTTTATCATATAAGCTAGTTTTTCAACTATAAGTTATAAACTATAAGCTCGAAAATTACTTATAAGCTATAGCTAGCTTATCAGCTATCAACTACCTTTCAGCTAGTTTTACTAAACATAGACTAAATTGTTTGTTGAACTCAAAATTTGTTTGATTCAAGCTTGTAAATAAGAAAATAAAATAAATACAAAATTATTAATTTTTTTTCGTATTTTAGATTTTCTTGTTAAATATATCATACTTGTAAATATAAAATAAAATATAATTATATCAAATTGAGTTCTCGAACATTGTTGAATGTTCACGACTGAGATCAAGTTTGTTCAGCTTTAATTTAAACGAGCATAATTTTTTGTTCGTATTCTATTTGATGAAAAAATGAACGAGCTATTGTCGAACTCTAAAGACGAAGCTTTTTGATGTGCAAGTTGTCTCAGGACATAATTTGGATCGGTTATGCCACAAAAATCTGATGAATTTTTCTACTTAATCAGGTTATTAACTACTGAGATCAAGTTTGTTCAGCTTTAATTTAAACGAGCATAATTTTTTGCTCGTATTATATTTGATGAAATATTGAACGAGCTATTGTCGAACTCCAAAGACGAAGCTTTTTGATGTGCAAGTTGTCTCAGGACATAATTTGGACCGGTGATGCCACAAAAACCTGTCGAAATTTTCTACTTCATCAGGTTATTAACTAATTTTATCAAATACTTTTATAATATCAACTATTTTTTCAATCATAAGCTAACAACTATAAGTAGACATATCCATGGGTTGGTTCGAACTGCCAAACCAGCCCGTAAGTCAACAATTTCGGGACTGGCCTATTGACCAAGGAGCCTGAACCTCCCGTGGTTTACCTAACTCGGAGCAAGTTATTATTTTTAACCGTCGACTCTTGTCATGGTTCGAACTAGAACTGACACGGCAGCCTGACCGAAAAATGAATTTTTCATATTTTTAATTCTTTTCCCGACTTAGGGTCGGGTCGGGCCAGGAACTGGAATCGGGGAATGTTGGATCGTTTTGACCGTTAAGATCCAACTGTAAAAAAATGCAAAGAATCACCAGTTCAGGCCGAATCGAACTGGGATCGACGAGACGATTTTGAATCGAGAACCGCCTGTTCTTTGAACCGACACTTACTTATATCTGGGCCCGTTCCGATTCACATAAATTGGGAACCTAAAACGATGGTTCCAAATCGGAATAGACTCGTGGCCTTGTCTAGCTAAGCTCGAAATTCACTTATAAGCTATTAGTTAACTTATTAGCAGAGTAACCACCACTAAGTGAGAGGATCTCGTTGCAAATACCTCAAATTAGTCTGACTACAAAGGGAGAATCAAGAAACACAAATTACGAAAGGATAAAGAGACTCAACGGTGAACATGTAGCATGGCGGAGCTACTGGAAGCAGCCATCTCCATTTCAATGACGTCGCATCTGCAAATTACTGAAAACCTACATTTTCAAAGCTCTCTCCTCCATCAGAAGCACTCAAAAGCTTGTCTGTTCAGCTCGCTTTCAAATTCCAGAACCCTAAAGCAAAAATCTTCGAAGCCCTTCAAACGCCTCTCTTCAGCAACGTCCCGCCATCAATCACCTCTGTCCGACGAAAACCCATTGCCCCGACTCTCGAAAAACAAACCTTTGAGTGTCGAAAGTAGCAGTAATTGCTGTAATCAGACATCGAAAAGCAAGAGGGTGTTTTTCTTGGATGTGAATCCGTTGTGTTACAAAGGGAGCACACGGTGTTTGCACTCTTTTGCTCATTGGATTTCGCTCTTCTTTTCCGATGTCAGCCGAAATGACCCCGTCATAGCTGTAAGCAATTTTTACATGTTTCCTTTGGGTGATTGTGAGTGAGTGATAATAAGTCTTTATTTTTTGTGCTTCTGGATAATTGCAGACTTGCATTGCCTATTGGCTGTACTTGGTTATGTCATGGACTCGTGGTGAATGGAGTTGCCTAGGAGATTGATATTCAGTTAATTGTAGTTCGGCTTTCAAAGTTTCAAATTATAAAAAACGTTTCCGCGTAAGTTTTGTGGATTTTTATATCGTTTTTGTGAAAAGGGAACGCTAAATGAGATTGCTGCAGAAGTAATATCATTGTCTTTGGTTAAGCGAAGGTGAAATGAAAATCGTGTTTCCTGTAATCTAGAAAATTAAACAGATTCTTGAACTATTGATATTTGTCCGTGCCAGCAACATTTCTTGTTTTTCAGTTTTCGGGTTTGGGTATTCATGTAGTTATATTGGAAAAGAAGTGGACGTGGAGTTTATTAAGCTAGGGATAATAATGCTCTTATGTTCTTAATTTCTCGTGAATGATGGAAAATATAGGTTCTTGATGGGGATAGATGTAATGAGTTCAGAAGGCAACTGCTACCATCATATAAAGCCAATAGAAGGAAAATACTAAACAAACTCCATGGCGTGGAAAGGTTTTCAAGAGGTTCTTTTGGAAGATCACATGAACTTGTCGTGGATGTTCTCCGGAAATGTAATGTGCCAGTGAGTGAGAGGCTACTTCATCAGTTTTATTGCTTATTGGAAAATATAATTTAGAACAGTTGAAATCGTGTCTCGAGATATTTCCTTTTGCTTGCCGCTGTATTTACTCATAGCTAGTGTGCAATCTAACTGAAGATCATAATTTCTAGCTGATTGTTACGGAATTCTCCAGGTTCGACTAATTACAAGAAAATCCACAATGTTAATGAATAATAAAAAAAACTGCCTTTTACTGAAATTTACAACATTAAATTCACAGGTTGTTAAGATTGAAGGGCATGAAGCTGATGATGTTATTGCGACACTCGTACATCAAGTTTTAGTGAAGGGATATCGAGCTGTAATTGCTTCACCAGACAAAGATTTCAAGCAACTTATATCAGAAGATGTACAAATTGTTGCACCTATATCAGAATTGAATAGATGGTCCTTTTACACACTGAAGCACTACATAGCTCAGTATCATTGCCACCCTCAATCTGATCTCAGCTTAAGTGAGTACTTCTTTGTAACGTATTCGGTACTTCCAGTGAATAACTAGTTAATTCTAAATTTATGATTGATGTAAATGTGTTTGGGGGATAATTACAAAAATTAGAACCACGAGGTTTCCACTAATTGCAAAATGATCATCATTTTAAATACAACAAAATATCTCATCGAGCTTATTTCTTCTTTCCAATTGTGGTTTATCATTTGAGTATGCTCATAATTGGCCAGGATGCATTTTGGGTGATGAAATCGATGGTGTTCCTGGCATACAACATCTTGTTCCTGGTTTTGGTCGAAAAACTGCTCTAAAGCTCTTAACCAAACACGGGTGTTTGGAGAATTTACTTACTGCTGCCAGTGTGAGAACTGTCGGCAAACAATATGCACAAGAAGCCCTTACGAAATATGCTGATTTTCTGCGTAGGAATTATGAAGTTCTTTCATTAAAGAGGTGATCACTGGGAAAAGAATCTTTTCTTCTATATATTTATTTATTATTTTTTTATTTGTTTTTACTTTTTAGTCACCAGTATCATGGATTGCATTATACAGGGATGTCAATATCCAGATTGAGGATCAATGGCTGTCCAGGAGAGATGAACTGAATGACTCTGTAATCTTATCCAGCTTTATGGACTTTTTGAATAAAAACACGGACCTCAACAGGCAAAATCGATCTATTTCAAATGGTAAGCTAAATGCTGTACAGTTATTCTGAAGGCAGCTTATTAATTTAATTATATTTTGAATTTCCAAAAGGGGCAAGCAACATCCAACATGTATTTCTGGGACTTCTTTGAAGTGATTAAATATTATTTGCATTGTTGATTTCCTTTTAAGAGAACAACTATTAAAGATACTAAATACCCTGATGAATAGTTTTTGGGAGTGTGAAACATAATGCCAGCATTCCGGAAGTAGTAACCTTGAAAAATCTTACAAATTGGTGATGAGTTACAAATGGCACCTCTGAAGTTAAGTTAAATCTAATTAATTAATTGAAAAAAACAATTTATCTTCAAAATTACAAGTGATCATCGATTTTTTATTTTTTATTTTCAACACCCCCTATGGAGATGTGATTTGGTGGATGAAGAAAAACTATCAAGGGATTATCTCTATATATGTAGTTTCAGAAGATTGTTGAGGTTTTCCTTATATAGCATTATAGCCAAACTTTCTGCGAGGATTGCCTTAATCTTCTGGCTGACTTTTCGCATATTTCTTGTAGGCCTGAAAGCTGGGACATAGTCGAGCTTTAATGGCTACTTTTCCCATATTTCTGAAAGCAAAGATTCTCGCTGGTGAAAATGGTGTAAAAGTCAAGAACAATGCAGTGGTCATGGAATTAGAAACATGCAGGCAAGCTTCATTGTGTTGATTATGTCAATGAATTTTGAAGTTCCCTTTCCTGCGGTTGAAAAATTGAAATGATTTTTCGGGCTTTGTTGTTATTGCGACGGAAGATTTAGAAAAATACTGCATGTAAGATTGTAACCATGATTTATATTAAGGGATCACATCGTTTTTGTAATAACATTAGTTAAAAAAAAAAAAGAATAGAACTTGAAAAAAAAAATAGAAACAAAAAAAATACACCAAGAAACTAACAATTTTTTAACTTTTTAATACATATAGAACATTAGTTCTAAAAATTATTCACAATATGTATGCAAGATGATATTGAAGAGAAAGAGAAAAAGATGCGAGATGACTTAAGAGAAAAAGAAGAATCAATAGCCATGAGTATTTAATATTTCTTATGTGGCTATTCTTATAAATATATAAGTCAAAAATATTCTTGTACAATTAAACTTTGAACTAATTAAAAATATTATTATACAATTTGATTATAATAAAATATATTTGTTGTACTTATTATACAAATTTTTTCAAGTGTTGTTTATATAGTGATACATATTTCGATTTGTTGTTTAGCTTGTAGCATGGATGTAGTTAAGATTAATATACAACATTTGACAAAGTTCAATACATATCATTGAAAAATAAACATGTTAACTATGTTGTACTACTGATGTAGGGAAGCGTACGAATGGGAAAAATAAAACGAGTAAACGATATACTCTCTATAAAACACGCAAAACTCACTATATCAATTCATCTTTTATTCATAATCAACTTCACAAAATAAACTAGAGGGAGTCCTTTATATAAGGCCCCTAATCCTAAACCTAACTTAATCATCAAGAAAGTTAAACCTAACTTAATCACCAATCTACTAAATAATAATAATAATAATAATAATAATAATAATAATAATAATAATAATAATAATAATAATAATAATAATAATATTTATTAAATTATCCGCATCATTCTCCTCCGGTTCGGAAGGCTTCGCCCTCGAAGCCGCACCAAACGTGCCTGACACGGGAGTCGTACCCATGGCAATCATCGTCCGACATTTCCCCCTATCGATCACAAAAATCGAATGTCTCCCAACGTCCACCCTAGCCGACCCACACAACATAAGACCCTTAC